TCTATGTTGAATTGACAAAGGATCTAACAGGATATCACTCTGTCTGTTGTGTTTGATACCGAACTCTGATGCTGATAAGGCACCGGAGAACGGCTGTCCTAATTCCCCCGACATGGTTTTAGAACCTACCCCCCAAAATCTACACGCAAGACCACCGCAGTCTGTTTAGAGAGGCAACTCTCAGCGTGGCTTAAAACACCAGCTGCCGTTGTATAACGGCCTGTCCACACGGCGGCGTGCGTTGAAGCTTCAACGCTTCTGCCCGTTCACTTGGAATGGGGTGACGTCACGCTTCGCCAAACTGCATTGTGGGAGCGTTGCTACGCGTTGCTCGCTTCAAAAGTTGAGCAATGTTCAACTTTTGAAGCTTCAGACACGCCCGCCGGCAAGCTTCAACGCACGCCGCCGTGTGGATGCTGAATAATTTACCAAAGGACCTCCAACACATTGCATGTCCGACCGCCGGATATCAACGGAAATATACAAGCCGGTTTCTTTGGTTTTTCACAAAAATACAGGATTACAGGATACAAATCATAAAATACAAAGTTTATATGGGACACAAGGACAAACCCAAAAGCCAAAAGCCCCCCTTTTCTCTTCACACATAATCTCTTATCCCCTTCCCCCCTCCTCCCTCTTCATCAGGTGGTTTCCCTTTTACTGTCTTTAGGTAAGAGGGAGGTTACATAGTTCAGCTTTTACTATTGAACAATTTTAAATTTTAAATATAAATTAAACAAAATAAATGATATTCAATTTGAACAAAAATGTATAAAACATTACATGTGAAGGCAGAATACTTGGACAATGTAATATATGGAATTAAACTTATTTTTCCTCAATCAAAAACAGGAAAACAAAATGTCTTACATTTTGTAAAGTAATAAACGTATGAACTACTATCACTGAGTTCTGATGGTGTTGGAGCTGAAAACAGAATGGAGGAACACAGTTCACTCTCGTCCTGTGCACAATGTTCTTAAGCCATCTTGCCGCGATCGTAACTGTCCTCAAGGTGTAAAAACCACAACGCCTTCTTTCTTAGCAATTGGTTTAGAGACGTACGCTTTGCCCAACATTAGGTCTGAAGCGTGTTCCAAGTCTGGTTTCAGATGTCTGGTGAGAGATCTCTGAGAAATACTTACTTTCCATCAAACCAATCTAAAGCCAGTTATAAATGTAGGTGAAATGATAAACTTCATAGAGGCAGGATTTGCAGGTGAGGTCTGTCACGGCCACTTAAACAGCAGATCTGTCAACAAATTCATTTAAACATGTATTGGTCTTTTGGTCACCTCAGGGCCATGCAGAAGATGAAGCAGCTTCGTCGTCTGAAGCTGGAGGATGTCAAGGTGCTGGCAGAGGAAGGCATTGAGCTGAATGCAGCGGAGTACCAGCTTCAGGTGGAGGAGCGCGAGGCCCAGAGGAGGCTGGACCGAGAGGAGCGGCTAGCCAAAGAGGCCATGATGACGCTGGAGGCAATGGAGCGTGAGGAGCAGGAGGCTGCTGAGGCCGCAGCTAGAGCAGCAGAGAATGCAGATATAGAAGGTGAGACGATATTAGAAGTAAGAAATGCAGTTTGTTTGTTTTTGTTAACAGAATAAAAAAAGAAAGGTGAGAAGTTTTCACCAGAATATGGGGCTAGATTAATATTGACATAAACAAAACCCACATAGTTGCTTTATTTTGAATTTCAGGTGTTTCTGCAGATTCTCTTTAACTCTCTGCAGATGCAGAATAACATATAGATAACTTGATTTCAGAGAACACTGAGGACGAACCCTTCCAAAATCAAAACTCCGGTTGTTTATCACTTTTCTTTACCATCCTGAAAGTTTTTTTATGGCTGCTTTTTACTGTTATGTTAAAATACTTATTGACTTAGCAGCTCAAAATATATATCAGCTATGGCATAATACATTTGAACCTAAGAGTCACCGTTGTGAAACTGTAAAGATGTTAGGTAAAGCCTGTACAAGTATTCAGCTCTTCTCTGCGTATCTCTGCTTCCATTAGGATTAGATTCCTCCCTGTGTGTCTGGAAAAGTCACATTTTATTATTTTTTATTCCACCCAAACTACACACAGCCAGTTTTCTGTTTGACACAACGGCCATCACGACTCTCCTGAAGTATCTTTTCTTCACATGTCTCTTTGCCAGAACAAGAACCCAAGGCCAAACCACAGATCCTGGCAGATGACACTGAGAAAAAGAAGCAGAAAAAGCAGAAGAAGTTGACATATATGAACGACCCCATCACTGGGTTTGAGGAAGCCTTTGCACAGTTTGCCTCCTCCAGCATCAAGAAGGCAGAAAACCACATGGTCCGTCGTCCAGAGCTGGAAGTGAGCGCTCCCCAGGTAAGATGGATCAGCTTTTATTCAATTAGACTTGTGTGTCAAACATGGAGGCACACTTTAATTATTCTCAAGCCACAGTTCTTGATACTGCACACATAGGAAAATACATGAACGTCTACATTTGAATTGGTTTTCTGCCACAGTTGTAGATTAAGCCAGTTATTCATATTGATAAAAATACTCAAATGACATTTCTAGAAGATCTTTAAGTGTCCTAAAACTAATTTGAAGTGTAGAAAAATGTATAGCTGTACTAACAAAACCCAAATATGAAATGTATTTGCTGCTGCATAATACAATGTTAAAAGGACTAAACACATTTTTTTTAAATAACACAATGTGAAATAATCTTGGGATTTTCCAGGCATGCTACTCCAAGGTGAAGATGCCAACGGAGGTAAAAAAGAGCAGACGTCACCCCCTCAGCAAGCCCCCCATGCGCTCCCCTCTGTCCATCCTCAAACAAGAACCGACCAGCGACAAAGGTTTGTGGCTTTGTGTTATTCTAATTTCAAATTGGAACCATTTCATCAACAGTTTTGATCCTGTTTTTGAGATGCAAACCGACTAGGATTTGATAGATCTGGATGTTTTATACAGGGACACGCTGTCAGTTGCTTGACATGAAATAAAAAAGGTAGAATGTGTTAATT